ACGTCTAATAACCTAAGGAGAAGCTCCCTGTCACGGCCCCAGTCCGCCTACTCTGTTCTTTCGGATGGGCAGCGAGGGAGGTCGCCGGGATTGATGCCTGGTGGCTCACATATGCGCGCTCCGTCAGTTCAGTCACGAAAGTCACCAGATGTTCGCCTTTCAACATACGCTGAACTCCTCAATGTGCCTTACCATTCTCAACAAGCACCTCCGCCTATCACAATGGACAACTCGGGACTTCGAAATGTAGTGGGCAACAACGCCTCACTGCTTAGCGTGCAGAAGACGCTCGAGATGTACCGTCAGAATGTCAAGAAGACCAACGATTTCACCGTGCAGTATTCTTTCGCCGTCTTTCTGATATCTGTGGCCCAGGAGCAGGGACTGGACTTCTCCAACCCCAAAGGCCGCAAGAACAGCCCACAGCCTTTCCGCGACCTGGACAGTCCCGTTGTCGAGGCTTCCGTGGCCACTCCCCCTGAGCTGGTCCGGGAAGCTCGGCAGATCTTGCAGCGCTTGTCCAGTGCAGGTTACCCCTTTGCGCAATATTACCTTGCCGACGGCTATGCTTCAGGTCTCTTCAACAAGGGCAAAGAAGACCACAATCAGGCCTTTCCCCTCTTTGTGATTGCTGCTAAGCATGGCCATGCCGAGTCTGCCTACCGAACGGCTCTCTGTTATGAGTTTGGCTGGGGATGCCGGAAAGATCCTGCCAAGGCGGTCCAGTTCCTGCGTACCGCTGCCGCCAAGAGGCATCCGGGTGCCATGACCCGCCTTGGTAAGGCCTGCCTTTCCGGAGATCTTGGAGAGAAAAGATATCGCGAGGGTATCAAGTGGTTGAAGCTGGCCGCTGAGTCTGCTGATGCGCAGTATAATGCTGCCCCCTACCAACTGGCATGCTTGTATGAAACGGGTTATGGTGACGACGTATTCCGCGATCTCAACTATGCAGCCGAACTATTTACACAGGCTGCGGAATTGGGCCACCCAGAGGCCAATTTCCGCATGGGCGATGCTTACGAGCACGGAAGTCTCAACTGCCCCCGAGACCCAGCACTCAGCGTTCACTTCTATACCGGTGCTGCTGAACGTGGACATGCAGCGGCTATGATGGGCCTGTGTGCGTGGTACATGGTTGGTGCGCCACCAATGCTGGAAAAGGACGAGGAAGAGGCGTATGAATGGGCTCACCGGTCTGCAGATTTGGGTAAGTTGACAAGCTTGTATTTGTATCGTTGAAAACTGTAACCGATCACGACCGCTAATCGCGACGCTTTTTTTTTTTGTTTTAGGTTTCGTCAAGGCTCAGTATGCAGTTGGTTACTTTACTGAAATGGGCATCGGATGCAGACGAGACATTCTCGAGGCCAATGTTTGGTATGTCAAGGCCGCAGACGCGGGCGATGAGAGGGCCAAGCAGCGACTGGCTATCATCCAAGCAGCCGTCTCAGGTCAAGGAACTCCCATGGACGTTGCCTCTCCGAGGAGCTCCAAACTAGCAAAAGGAAACAAAGACGATAAGGATTGTATCGTCATGTAAAAGAGAGAGAGAAAGGAAAAGGAAGAAAAAAAAAAGGAAAGGAAGGCAGTGAACTTCAGCCTGAAGAAGAAGACGGAATAACGTGAATATAAAGAAGAAGAAAAGCACGCTTTTAGGCGGTTGTGGGCACGACTAATACGAAACAAGCGAGGTTTGGATACTTTACGAACGGCCTCTCCTTTGGATATCTTGAGCGAGGGATTCTTGCCGGAAAAAGCCAAACTGTCCTTGGTAATAATTTTTTTTATCTCTTTTCGCCTTTCCTTTCCATTTATTTTTCTTGCATAACCGCTCATCATTTTGTCTTGCCTGCGAGAGTTTGATGTTTCATGAGCGTGCTTTCCATCACGACGTTTATGCTAAGCTTCTTGGTTTATACACTTTTTTTTTTGGCCCCCTGCAGAGAGAGCAAGCTTTTTTTTTATTGTTGTTTTTGGCCTTTTGATGCAAAGCTGTTTAGAGCGCGCAAGTTGAAAGCAGAAATATCAAAAGGGCTAGGAGACAATACTGGCGAGATATTTGAGGAACACTGTATTCCTCCCCCACTCTATCTAGACGCGCGCACACACACACACACATACACAGAAGGAGAGAGAGAGAAGGAAAAGAGAAAACTATTCTTGATGAGAGAGAGGAGATTTTGAAAACAGAAATATTTTAAAAAGGTTTTTTGATACAGCAGGCATTGTTAAGTGGACTTATTACTGGGAGGGGAGTTTGCTTTTTCTTAATACTATATGACAACGATGAGGAAGATGGGAGAAGAGGAAGAATGACGGGAGTTACCCCTGAACTTGGTCTTTGAGATTAATGTCTTGTTTCGAGGGGAATAATAAGCCTACATTGCATTTTCTCTTTGTTCTTTTCTCTTACCACTTTTTGTTATTACATTGCACGCCGAGGAAGATGACGAGGAATCAGATGGAAATTTGATATAAAGCTGCCCTGTTCTTGTCATCAGCTTTCTCGTTTCTTTTTTTTTCTTTCTTTTTTTTTTTTTTTCTTTTTTTTTTGTTTCTGACGTATCTTTTTTGCAATGTTTCCCTTTTGGCTATTGCACTCTATCATGGTGGCGTTTGAGGGAGTTTGCTTTAGGGAATTTAAGTAAAGAAAGCAAGCAGGCAAGCAAAGTAAAGTAAATTAAGTGGCCAGTGCCTTTTCTTGATTTAGAGCAGTTAATATTCATTTATTCACATGTTGCTTCTTCTCCAAACACTCTTTCTTTTCTTTGAGCTCATCGTAGATATATATATCGCAAGCGGCTCAACTCCTTATAGCGACAGCATGAGCAGACGCCCAGTATTTTGCTATAAACGCTGGCAATACAACTACTGAATTTTATCCTTCTCTTACTTTCCAAAGACACATCAGCATCTAATCCTCTTAAGCCCTCCACACCGCCAACTTCTTCCACAGCCTCAACAAAAGCAAGAGTCCCATCCACCGGGCTCTGCAGAATAAAAAGCATAGTATAATAGCACAACTGGATGTAATTAGGCCATAGCAACAAAACACTCCTCAAGGATATCAATGCAACGCTGAACATCGAATCTACATGCCAGGGCATCACGAGGTCCTACGCCACACAAAAGTCATTTTTGGCTCTCATAACTGCTCTTCAACCGTTGGTCACGAGCGAGAACAGATGCAGGAGAGAGAGGGAGGTGGGGACGGTGCATTGACCACTGTGAGGAATGCTGCCGTTGGCGCGACAATGGCCAGAGGAGGAGACGTTATCTGTGATTGAATGTGACCTTTTGCGTAGCCGGCTGCATTGGCAAACCAAAAGCTTGGGCTATTGTACGTTGAAACGAGGCGTTGATGAAGATTTGGCGTCTTGAACAAAATACGGCTTTATAGATAGACTGGGGGAGAAAATGATGTATTTGGTAATGTTCTTTACTACGACGAACTCAGATTCCATTCATAATCGCGGTATTTGATGGGACCATGCACGCCCGTCATTCTTCTGACGACCATCTCGCCCTCAACACGCGCTGAGGCCAGCAAGAGCATAAATTGAAGTAGCATAAACGCTGATCGATGACACCTTCAGGTAGATCAATTGGTATCAGTTTGGTCTTGGAATCGATCGATATATGTGTCGTCACTGGCACATTTCGATTGGACAATGAGTGAAACGGGAGTGCCTGGCGGATGCAACCTTTTAGCTGTAAGCTCTATGTATTGAAAACTGGTCTCGATAATGTCATGCGTCAACTGGTAGCGAGGCTAACAGCTAATCAGCTAGACGGCGCTTCGTCACAGTCACACGTGCGGCTTGAGCATCTCGGGGGTCCCCTGTGAGCTCCACAAAGCTGAGACCTTGATGGGTCGATCCCGTGGCAGTTAAAGGAGCTCTCTGTTCAAATTCCAAGCTTGTCTGTGCACCTGTAAGCGCTGGAGCAATTCTGCATCAAGGTAGAAGCATGAAATTGTATGAAGTATATAGCATGTGTTATGCAGAGCGTTGCATAATAGAGCACTCTACTGGTCTTAAAGCCAGCACTTATCCGGTCGGTTTGCCGCTATTCGTTCCAGGAAGAGGCCATCACATATTCCGTTCTCTCTGGAGCTCGGAGAGAGAAGCACACAAATTCCACGCAATGGCAGGCAAGTGCAGGCAAAGCTGCCTCGTGGCTATAGCTGCAAGCTCTTAAGCGGAAGATGGCGAGCAAGGGTGGCTGGTCACTCGACCCGCAAAACTGCAGCCCATTATTGGGCGATGCCTGAACGGCTGCGTCATTTATGGGGCGTGTTGAAGCGCGTCAGCCACGCGTGGAGACGCGCTTCTCATCGTCACCGGGGGTGGATTGACGCTGACTTTGGACCTGTGTTTGCTCTGTTGCGCTGTTTGCGCCGCTCCATCAGGCACCGCCTCATTCCATCGTGCTGCGCTGTGTCGCAATTCGTACTCGTAACTGCTGAAGAGAGACTGAGCTTTGATGAATTTGGACAAAATGTGTGATGGTTAAGGAGCTGCACAAAGCCATTGCGTTAGAAATACAACCCTGCGGCGTCGCATTGTAAGCTGTACGGTGTAGAACAGAAGCAGTGCGGCTAGGAGGTATTTGAAGAACTAGAGGTCAGCTGATGTAAAATAGTGGCATCAAGATGGTTAGAATGTTAGTAAGGGCCAAGCTGATCAGACGGTGGTGTTGCGTGAACATCTGAAAGGGCTGTCGCCAAAACCAATAGTTGCGAGCTATTGGCACAAGAAGGAGAAAGTCATCACACTCCCTCTCTTCTACCATTTTGTCTGTGCTCGTGAGAAACAGACAAGTTGGGTAGCATCTCCAAAAGAGACTTTACAGCTCCGGCAGCTCCAATTGCAGAACCAAACTCATTGGCCATACTGGCAGCCAAAGCAGAAGCGTCATCCACTCCGGGAGGAGATCGATCGAGATGGGTAGATCGGACTCCTTCCAAAGGGCTTACGGACTATTCAGAGTGACTATTGAGCTCCAGGGCCAGGGCGGGCGTCTCCCACCCGGAGGGAGACAAACATTGACCTCATAGATGGACGATGACGCTGCCGGCATCGCGCATGCATCTCCGCGTTGACTGACAATCGAAAACCGTCTTCATCATACAGTATGAGAAGATTGGCCGGAAGAACCGGGGTAGAAGCAGAGGAAGAAGCCGAGAGAACCAGAGAAACAAGAACATGTTACATGGTGGCGTCTTCGTGCCGGAATCTGACCCGGGATCCGCACGTTTTCGGGCACAAAGAGGCAGATCTCATGCACAGCTGGCATGGGAGGAAGATGCTGGTGCGTGGCGCACAAGCTGTAGCGAGATAAGCTCACAGTTCTATCGTCATCACTTGACGGGCGTTGAGCATGTTGGGTGGCCTTTGGGCGTGGTAGCAACAACTTGCTTGGCAGCGTTGGTTCTCGACTGCGGCCCCTTCTGGTGGCGGGCGATGAGAGCGAAAAGAGGAGCTGAGAGCTAACAAGGGCGAGCCGTGCCTCTTGGTCGCGGACACTAATCGCGCACTTTAAGGCCGTTAAACATCGTCGTCCAGCTATAAGCTAGTGTGTGTGGGTGGAGAGAAGAAGAGGAGAGCACTGATGTGTGTGTTGGTAAAGGTGCGTTGCATGAGACAGCAGATGGGGCCGAGCAGTCTGCTGAAGAAAGCAGCGCAGAGCAAAGGGGGGCACTCCCTCAACGGCATCGAAACTAGGTAGCCGTATTTCTTCGATAGGCCGGTTTCCCTGGATGGGCTCCTGTTGCCAGGGCGTTCCCGCGAGACAAGACATCGACATCGACACCGACATCGACACAGACCCTCTCTTCTCCCCCGCAAATGCTCTGCAGATGACGACTCGAGGCTCGACAGCTCCAGGGAAACCGAGACTCAGAGGGCCTTGGCGAGGGAGGAGGAAGAGCAATAGGGCCGCGACGGACAAGGACGAGGCAAGACAAACAGGCAAACCGCAGAGACAAACACGGTCATTCTGCATGCGGCACAGTGTCGAGCGAGGCCTGAGTATCTGGCAACAAGCCAAACAGGGCGGAATCCGTACTGTATGCTCCGCTGATTTTTGTTTCCCCGTGGCCCTGCTGCAGGGCGTGAGCAGCGAGTAAGTGCTTGCATGGCGAGCCTGAGCTTGGACTCGGTGAAGAGACACGGCCTGCAGCTCAAGAAACAAGAGCAGAGGAAACGAGGCGGGTTTGCGGGGGAGGCAGTGCCAGCAGCAAGCGAGTAGTTCAGTTCAACTTCATTTTGCAATTTGGAGGTGATTTCCGTCTCCTCGGTAGGTACCTGCTACTTGCAATCCCATTACGCGTCGTGCTTGTGGGCGCTGCACATGTCAGTACCGGTACGTGGTGCCTTGGAAGAAGAGAACTTGCTGCGTGAATCAGCAAACGGACGCTCATTTCACTAACACTCCTCCTTCTATTACTCGCACCGTTCCTCGCCCGCCGCATTTGGACGTGTAGTGGGCGAGACCGTGCGAGGTGGCATCGCGGCACATTGTGCGTCTTCTCCTTTCCAAGTACCCCTGCTGTAGCCGCTCTTCATGCACTTGCGTCCTGTTTCACGTCCTTTAGACGCAACCGGCAGGCTGCCGGTACCCACGCAATACCCACGCGGTACATCCGCCAGCCCCGTCCGCCAGAACGTTCGCCGCATCCGGCTACCGCCCACCCCTGCCCCAGGGCAGCAAAGCTGGACGGGGCCCCCTCTCCAGGCCCTTTCAGCGCCCCCTAAAAAAAGAGGCCCTTCCCCTGGTCGCTGAATATTGGTGCTCTGCGCTGATGAATTTTTTCGTCTCTTGCCACCCAAACAACGTTCCCACTCGCACGGTGCCCGACACCTTCGGGCCCTTGGACCCTCTCCCGCTGCCAGTGTCTCTAGTGCCTGAAGGGTCCCTCTAGAACGCTAACACTAGCACTAATAACTGCCCAGCCCCTGCCACAGGCACCATCCAGCGCTCTCATAATTACTTGCGCCTCGCCCTCCCGTTCGCACTCCAAGTTCCTACAACAACAACATACTTACTCTCTATCCTTAGCAACAATATATTCACTACACACGGCTGCTGCTGTCCCAAACCAAGTCTTTACTGCTATTACACGCAATATCAGTCATTCTTTCTTCAACCTACCGCCGGAACGGCGTCATTCACTCGCTTCTCATCGACCCGGTTTGCCAGCGCGCGCGCGCACATCCACTGTATCGAACAACTAGCCAATAACAACCACAACAACGCATATTGAAGTGCTTTACGCGCGCAATTGTCAAAGACGCTTCTTGCGAGAAGTCCGTCATCACATTCACTACAACCTTAAACCGCGAAAAGAAAACACCACACACCACACTCAGCCCAACATGCTTCTCCCATCCGCCTTCTCTTGCGACGGCTCGCGAGCCGCGCCTACGACCAGATCACACACTGGCCGATTCGTATCACCGCCCTCCAGCCCTACGACGCTGTCGGCGCAATACTCCATCGACAACATCATGAACACCTGCCGCTCTCTCCAGTCTCTCATCACCATGACCGCCCCCAGCAACGACCACGGCGCGCTTGCGCCCGCGCCTACCTTGACACAACTCCCCACACCACCTCTCGCATACGCTCCCACGCCTATGAAGCTGCGCCTACGAGCGCGTGGCAATAAGTCAGATAGCAAAGGCGACGAAACGCCCGTAACGAGGAAGAGGATCGCGAAGCGCACTCCTCCCGCTCCTCCCAGGGGCGTCAACAAACGCCGGCGCGCGCTTGACGACGACATGGGGAGGAGCGATGAGACCGACATGGACACTGAGGCAGATCTGGGTGCTGAGGCTCTACAAATGACACACAGCTCATCCCCGTCATCATCGCCACAAGCCCCATCAACACCAAAACGCGCTCGCATCTCCCCTGAACAACTCCCCTTGGGACTCGAGCGCTCTGATTTCCACGACATCCACCTCTTGGAAGGCAGCGCCAACAGCAAAGATAGCGAAAAGCCCGGCACCGACCTCCAGGTTGAGGCGGACGGCTCAGAATGGAGCCTCGAGGACGATCGCGTTCTCGTCGAGCTGGTGCTCGAGAAGCTGAGGCTGTCCAAGACGGAGTGGCAGGACTGCGCGCGCAGCCTGGGCAAAGATAGACACAGCGTCGGCAGGCGCTGGAAGAGCCTAATGATGAATGGCGATGTTGGTGTCAAGACGAGAAGTCGACGAGCAAGACTGCACTCTACCTGGCGATGAGTTTCCAACATCAGTCTTTTAACTGACCAATCTTTCTTTTTCTTTTATTTCTTCCTTCTTCTTCTATGTATCTTTGTGCAAAAGGGGGTATTGGCCTCTGTTCAAGTTGAGCGGTCTATTATTTTATTAATATGTCTGTCTGTCTGTCCTTTTGATACTACTTATACTGGTCCTATTTTTCCTTTGTCTGAGCAACAACAACAACAACAACAACCCCCTCTTAGCTTCTTACTTTGAGCTAAGCTGTGTATCAACACTTTACCTGCTTGTCAATCGTATCTACTACTTGTATCAGCGCGTCTATTTGTTGTTTTTTGTCTTTCTGAAGCACTGGCGTCGAGGAGAAGGGACACAACGAAAGGGAAAGGGAAAGTTCTTTTAGGTAGTGTTGACTACTACCGATCTACCTACAGTGTAGACACATGTTGCTTGAGCATACTTTGATTTTTGAGGGGGAGGCATGCCTGATGGATTTAGATTTTCTGGCTCTCCATGGATATTATTACTGGTTTACTACCTACTACTACTATTTATCACTATTACTAGTACCTACTTGTTGTTACCAAGAGGCAGAACAAACAATATTACAAAATAATTTTAATTATTTTACGCGTTTTCTCTTCCTCGTGTGACGTATCCCCAACTCAACTGACAAAGGACTAGGTATTCTAGCCTAGTAATAAAATCGGTGGCACTGAATCAATCATGCAAGGACTGTGTGGAAAAAGAAAAAAAGGCCCGTCTATGCATCCTCTTTAACCAAATCCATGAAAACCACGTGTTTGTTTGAAACAAAAGTGTCGCCCCCATGTTCTCGACCAGCCTCTGCTGCCAAAGCGTGAGTTACATGTAACCCTTTCTTGCATCAATAGCCCTTCTACTCAAGGGAGAGAAGTAAACGGAAATAGTTTTCATACTGAGAAGAGAGAGAGAATAAGCATTATATTTGACTGTGTTGCTTCCAATTGATTTCGGTTTGCTTTTTAAGTCCCATGCTTTTTTCTTTTTTTTTTTTTTTTTCCCTTATAGTTTCTTTTCTCTTTTCTTCTGACAGAGAAGGAAAAAAAAATACCTGTGCAAAACTGATCAATACAGCTATCTAGGAGGCACAAAGTATCTCGGGCCGTCTATGTAAAAGGGAGCTTGATTCTCACCAAAATATAAAAAGGTTGGCTGTTTCTCCTGCCTCCCTTTCACACATTCGCCCAGCCAACTGGACTATTCCCCAGCCATCCCAATATGAGACTGGATGCTGTCACATGGCTACAGTTGAATGACTAGGGAAGGAGTAAAGAGGAATAATGGGTGCTGCTGTTTCTCTCTCTCTCTCTCTCTCTCTCTATTTTGTCTCTCTCTACACACACACACACACATATATATGTAATGTTTAGAGAAGTAGAAGGCATAGAAAAAGTTTGAAATAGCTACAAATTCGCAACATTAGTCAATGTTAGGATGCTGAATAACAAAGGTAGTGGATTGGATAACAATTTCCTACACATATAGGCACCTTCACTTTAATCCACAAAAGAATATTAAAGCATATAGGAAGCTCATCGTGCTCATATTAAATCATCATCTCGCTCTATATGTGTACTTTCTACCATGCCACTCCACAATGCTGAGATTTGGCCATTTATGTTCACTCCTGTGTTCACCTGCTTCCAACCCAATAGGGCCAAGAAATAATACTACTCATTAAAAGAAAAGAAAAGGCATGGGTAGTCTGGTGCTAACCCACTTTGAATATGCACCAACGAATCCCTTTGGCCCATGTCCATATCGTGATTCCATCATGCATGTATGCTCAATAATTAGACCATCAATTGATGGACCAACATCCGATGAAAAGAAAAAAAAAAAGGTTAAAATAAAGTACCAAAACAAGCTCAAAGACGTTAACGCCATTGCAACAATCATGCTGCCGACCATTTTGTTATCTTTCCGAAACACCCCCTCTAAGTTGTCTCTTCTCAAAAAAAGGGACAAGACCAAACTTGGATGCTCAGCAGTGGCTAGAATGGGCTGCGTTGTCCGTCCTACGGGGGTGTCATTTGCTCTTCCATCATCTTGCGCACTTCTTGCTCGAGATTCTTGCTCGCGTCCGCAGCGGATTCTTCGATCACGCCGGTAACCTTGTTTGCCAGTTCAATTTTCTTTTGGCAGGCCTTGTAAATAAGCTCCTCGATGGTATGTGTTGAGATGAGCCGAATCACCTCCACGTCTCGTTTCTGTCCAAGACGGTGTGCACGGTTCTCTGCCTGGATGTCGTCTTGAGGATTATCCGACTGGTCAAAGATTATAACCTTGTTGGCTGACGTTAGGTTGATGCCAGTACCACCCGCGCCAGTGGTCAGTAAAAAGACAGGGATGCTAGGGTCTTGGTTGAATTCATCAATCAGCGTCTGTCGGTCTGACACATTGGTGTTGCCCATCAGCACGCGGTGGTCAATGTCTTGACGCGCAAGCACTTCTTGCAAGAGCTCAATAATCCGTGAAAACTTGCTAAAGACGAGGACGCGATCGCCATTCTTCTGATATTTCTCAATCAACTCCATAAGTTTTCTGATCTTGCCGCTTTCAAGTTCTGTTGTAGGTGCAATATCGAATTGCTTCAGTAAGCCAGGATAGTCGCGACACCAAAGATGAAGTTCAAAGTCAGACGAATTTTTCAGCTCTTGAATAAGATGTTTGATATCAGGTTGATGAAGTTCAGACTGATCGAGCCGATCCATTAATATCTTGGCCATCTCCGTAACCTTTTTGTCTGTAAAATGGCGGCGGAAGAGCAGAGGATGCAAGGCCGCTTTCCGCAGCTGTATCCAGACGTTATTCTGATCGTTTTGTCGACCGCGTGATTCCCGTGAGGTACGTTGAGATGGTTCCATTTTGAACAATTCTTCGTACTCATCGTAGACGTCCTTTTGTGCTTCGGGCATGTCGCAATGAATGACGTTGCAGATCTTGCGAGGCATGTCAGATAATACCTGGTCTTTGCGACGCTGAAGGATAAAAGGCTCGAGGATTGTCCTTGCGCGTTTGACCCGTTCACTATACAGGAAAGCGCCATTGGTAACATCACGAATCGTCACCTTTTGGCTGAAAATATACCGAATTTGGTTCATATAACCATCGAAGAGTCTGGGGTTGATGAAATTTAGAAGCGAAGTCATCTCCAGCAGGTTATTCTGAACTGGGGTACCTGTTTGCCAAAGGACGTTAGCAAACTGCTGCTGTCTTTTATTTCATGAGATGTGCTACATCGTTTGTTTCATATAGCTGGCTTGCATTTGAACTTACCCGTAAGAAGCATCTTCCAAGCAGATGGGATTCTACGAAGATCCTTGTAAATTTTCGTTTCTGGGTTCTTCATCTTGTGTCCCTCATCAAATATGGCAGCGTTCAGGTCGAATGACTGCATAGCCCCAATATCCTCTTCCGAATTAATCTGTGAGTACGTCGCTAGGACAACATGATAGGCTTCGGGTTCTTGCTCAACCGCGTAGGCAATCTCCATGCGTTCCGTTTGAGACCCTCGATACCCTATTACGGAGAGTTCAGGTGCGAATTTCTTGAATTCGCCGAGCCAGTTGTTGTATGTACTGGGAGGCACCACAATCAGGTTTGGCCACGGCCGTCTTCCCTTGGGACTGTTTTCGTACTCCTCAACAAGGTAGCACATGAATGAGATGACCTGGCAGGTCTTGCCGAGACCCATCTCATCAGCTAGAATACAGCCGATGTCGTAGTTGTAGAGGACCGACATCCAGTTTAAGCCGTAAAGCTGGAAGGGTTTCATGACGCAGTGGCCGTCCATCATCTGTGGCTGACTAGGGATTGGCGGTTTTGAAAGTTTGGTAGTACTCAAGCTTGTCGGAGTCGGCGGGGCATCATCTTCAGAGGGAGTCGATCGTGCGCTGCGTTTATTCCGACCAAACATGTTGATGTCCCACGTCTCAAACACGCCTTTGATTGCTTGGCCCTTGGCCTCACATTTCGTCACGACCTGATCAATGGCGGTCACTGCGTCCATGAATACCTGGATGGCATCCACAACTGTCTCTCCGATGCTGATTCGGGCAGATTTACGGGCACCTGGCTTCTTGTTGACATTGACTCTTCTGGCCTGCATTAGGTCGTAGAAGGGCCGTTTGGCGATGATTGGTTTGAGTAAGTCTTCTTTCATGCCCGTTATGGCAGCTAACTCCTGAGAGGTACTTTCATTGATACAGACAAGTACCTTGTCATCGATTTCCCCTGATGCCTCCGGCGATTCTTCTGCTTGATATGTATCCTCTCTCCCGTCGTCCACCAGGTCTATAACCAGCGGATCGTCGCTCGAGGCCAGTGCCGGTACTTCTTCTATTTCTGGCTCAGGTTCTGGTGTCGTTGATGCTCGTCTCTTGAGGCCATTCACGAGCCGGCGTCTCGGTGGCGGAGGCTGTGGCCTGGGAGGGCTTGACGGGAGTGAGGCGACTGAAGCGACAGAAGGCGAGGGGGAGCGCGACGGGGGCTTGGACAGAGAAAGCATTTGCCCCTTGGATACTAGGCGCCGCGTGCCAGACGGTGTTGGCTTTGTAGACTTTGTCGGTTTTGCAGTTTTTGCGTTTGCGGGTTTTGGGGCGGATTGCGAAATTCGGGTTTGAGCCGAGCGCGGCACATTGCGTTCTAGCCACGCGATCGCATCGTCCAGGTCGTTTCCACAACTCCTCAGGGCTTCTCTAACTTTGTGCGACGGGAATCTGTCGCCAAACACATCGAATATCTGCCGCAGCTTCCTCGTCATCTCTTGGTCGTCGATCGGCTTGTATGCAAAAGCGGCTATCTGGGTTTTAAACGTAGTCGGACGGATATTTCCTCGCGGAGGGGTAATGTCGTCTTCATCGTCGGAAATGAGACTGATCGGTTCCGGAGTCGGTCTCCTCGCGGGAGCGGCTTGCGTCTGGGGAGGTGGGCGAAAGACCGTACCGGCCGGTGCCAGGCGGGAGCCCAATCGCGTCTGCTGCAGTTTCGGCTGGAACGGTGACGAGGCGGGGACTTCGATCACGCTCGCTGCTGGGGACGAAGATCTGACCATCGCGAGTCCAGGCCGACTAAGCACCTGTGTCGGTTGGGTGGTATCGCCATCCTTCAGGAAGACTGATGGCGAGCACGGTATTGTGTCTCCTGCAAGCTCGTCCATGTCGTCCTGTGGTCGTCCCTGTCTGAGAGAAGGCGTTCGCGGCACAATGCCCAATTGTGAAAGCGGCGGCAGCGGAGATGAACTGCGCGCCATGACAGAGAGAGAGAGAAGAGGAGAATAGAATCGTCAGGGAAACGAGGTGCGGAGCGGGGGTGCTTTATGAAAGCAGACGAGCAAATTAGTGAGGAAAGAAAGTGACAGCTCTTTGTTCGAAAAGTGAGAGAAAACTCTTGTCTTCCCGCTGGCGATCTAATGCAAAGCCGAAATGAAAGTGAGACGGAAATGAGAAACAAAGAGTCTAAAGTCTAAATCCAAAAAAAAAAAAAAAAAAAAAAAAGAAATAAAGTAAAAAAAATCTCAGGGGTACCCGCTTGCCGAATATCTAGATCTCAAGTGACGTAGATAGAGAGATCCTGTCCCAGAAAATTAGAAAAAGAGGTTAATCCGCAGCGGGTGCTGGGGGAGCCGCAGCCATAAAATTGTGGCACTTTTTTCACTTTGAAATAATTTTCGTGACGATCTGGAGACGCGCCGTAGTAAGAACACCAAGTCGCGAAGTCACATGACCACTTTATGCTCGATCTGGGGGTGGCTGAAAGACGGACGACGCTTGGAGGACAACATCGCCTCTTTTAGGTAAAAGCAGTGACGACAGATTCGAAGCTCTGGACAAAGGGAACAACAAAGAACAATAAAGACAAAGACAAGGCATAAGACGAACAAGATCCCGGAATAGTTCAAGCACACACAAGAGCACGAATTGGCCTCGCCCCCATTTCATTTCACAGTAGTGTCCGTAGCTGGGACCCTCTTGTGGCGAGAGCTCCATCAAGCTCATCTCATCTAGCACTAAACTCATTCTTGTTCTCATCCCGCCTCGACCATCAACCCACAACCTTCAGCCATCATCCCTTGTCTCGACATCCTTAACAATGGCCACTCGCCGCATTGTCAGCTCTGAAAAGACAATCCTGGAAAAGGATGACACCGCCGAGGAAAAGTCCAACATCAGCCCTGCCGTCCCAAAGTGAGCTCCCTCTCTTACTCTTACAGGCTCTCTCCATCCCTCTATATCTATTAGGTTGTGACAATCAATTAAACGCAAAATTTCTGACCACTCTCGCTAGAGATGTCATTTTCAAGCTCCTCGGCTTCTCAGCTGCCATGATTATCGTCCCTATCGGCTCATACTTTGCGACAGTCCACACAGTCTTCAACGGTAAGATCCTGCCCACATATGCCATCTATGGATGCAAACTGGCCTGACCTAGCTAAATTCTTTGTAGGAAATTCATCGCTGGCCGGGGGACTGGCTGCTGTGCTGGCTAATGTAGTGCTCATTTCATACATAATTGTAGCCATGAAGGAGGATCAAACGGAGTCCAAGCCTGAAAGCAAAAAGACACAGTAAATAGCAATGTTGCCATAATTGTATTAATATCACATTTTTCAAGGTAAGATGCAGAAGAAGCAGCTTGTTTCCAAACTAGACAGGAACGAGGGGAAAAAAAAAGAAGGGATGCAATAGAAGTAAGCAGGAAAGATAAAACATCGCCTATTCATTATGTTTATAAAAGCCTGTCATCACCCACAGGCTAGTGTTTGTAATCTCTCTTCCAGGCGACCACGTCTATATGCCACAATGAGCTTAGTTGATAGTGGATGAAATGACTCAACATCATTGCCATGAACAGATCCGTGCTCTTGTCCGGATCTAAAGCAGATTATTATTCTCCGCCAGAGCCAACGGCAGGGATTTATAAACACCACAAACGCCACATACAAAGCTTATCCGAGTATGTACCCATCCCTTTCCACAATGTCATGTGCTAAGCGCTCCTAATATAGAGCTTCAAACAAACAAGTTTCCCAACGGATCATAAGAAAACGAACAAGCAAAGGAAAAGAAAAAAAAATAATGACATCCGCCCCCACCCGTATACGTCTCCCCCGAGCTCCTTAGTAAGGGCGTGACTATAAGCAACACTCTCATTGAAATCAATGCAATCCCCCCGCCGGAAAATAAAAAATAAACCAATCGTGAAACAACGTAATGAAGCATGAAGCTTTTCCCATGCGCAAAAGGAGAGAAGGTAGTAGAGAGAGTCAGGCCAAGGAAAATGTACAAAGGAAAGTGCGAAGGAATGTTGAAACGGGGTATTGACTTTTCTTTCCAGAAGACTTTAAGAATTTTTGCTGAAACGGCGGGCAAACCAGCTCTTTCGCTTTTCTCCTCCCGACGGTGTCGTAGAAACTTGCCTCTTAAGCGTTGACACCTGCTTTCTTGGTATGGTTGGGAGGGGATTTTGGTAGCTCGCGTTTGGAGGTGTTGGTAGGTTATTGCCGTTTGAAGGAGGCGTCAAGTTCACCGTCAGAGCCGGAGCCTTGTAAGACTGGGACTGGCTGAATGCGATACCATAGTCGTTTACACGCTCGTTTACACGCTCGTTAACGCGCTTAGCTGGAGAGGTCCGATGAATCGAGCTGTTATCGCTGCTAGTAGGGTCGGTCTGATAGCCTGCAGGGTCGGAATTGCCGCTGGCAGCTGCGGATGTCACTGTCTCGTATGAGCGATCCTTATGAGGCAAGGGATAGACGTTTTGCTCTCGACCGTAGGATCGAAGATGGGAGTCGGAGGGCATCTTTGGTGCGCGCTCGCGCGATGGTCGTCCATAACCCCCCTGGTTTCTGTTGTAGCCGCTAGGACCTGCGCTCGTGGTGTAGTAACCTCCATTGTTATTGTTGTAGTTTTGATTGTCATAATAGCTGTTCCTCCCTGAAGCTAGACCGGGCGCTTCATACTGGCTACCTTCTCGGAAAGAGGCCGCACGACTGCCATAGTAGCTATCTTGAGGAAATCGTGGTTGGTTTGCTAATATCACGAAGCAGGGTGTTAGAACAACCAATGAAAAAAAAAAAAAAAATTAAATAACAACTCCTGCGCCCAACTTACGTCTATAGTAGCTGTTTCGACGGCTAAAGTTTGCTGAAGGGTCCGTGTCTGAAAAGAGGCAAAAAAATGTTAGCTCTCATATGCTTGTAGATACAAAAGCTTGTCAGAAATTAATCTTACCTGAACGATACATGGACCGTCGCGCATAATCGCCTTCAATCGCCGCTTCAAAGCTTCGGATGGTATCAAGAGGGCGCTCCCAGCGGTTGCGAGTAGGGTTGGACAAATCAGGATCGGCTAAAGAGAGCAGAGTGTAAGCAACAGCTGCCATTGGCATCTATTCGAGAAACACGTACCAATTACGTTTCCATAGGCATCTTTATGTTGAATGGAGCGCAGTGGAGAGAGTGATGACGCTGTCATCACAGCTTCGACAGCTATTTCACTACATGTCAATATGTATACGCGAAGAAAAGGGAATGTATGAGCAGAACGCTCGAGCGCGATATCGAGAGAAGAGGAACATACATGGCTCCGCCTCGTTCATTGCCAGCGTGGGATCGGCTTTGCTGTGGAGGCGTCTAGAATCCTTTTCAGCGTGCGTTTCGTGCAAGTCGATCTTGTTGGTGACGCTATTCTTGCGTCCTTTGTCGGAGAGGAAGCTGAAGCGCCCCGAATTGTTCCTCTGGTGTTGCTCCGAGTGGGAGACGGCCTGCTGAGTAGGCGATGGGAAGGGGCGCTGCTTGCTTGCTGGAGCCGCCATGGTGAATCTGGGACTGGAGCTTCTTTATCTTAAGCTGGGTGAGATAGCTGGGGCTCTGCGACGACGGTGCCCAGGGCACTCGGCACGGTCGTGGGGATCGAGCGATCAGTGCGGGTCGCAAAGATGGTGGATGATAATCTGCTGTACTAAGAGGAGTCCTCTCGTCGTACAGTCGTACTAGCAGCAGGAGTAATTAATGTTACGGGGGGGCCTGGCCCAAGCACAAACGGGGCGGGCACGGCTCGACGGCAACGCGAGTCGAAACAATGCGTGAGTGAGGAGCGTGAGCAGCTCCAGCGCAGAGTCCAAAAAAGCGAAGCGAAAACCAGCAGAGACAATTCCTCAGGACAGGACGTCGTGATGGTGTTGAACAATCTCTGGGCGGGACGGGGGAGAAAAAAGAGGTTGGCGGCACAGAGGTTGGGGGCGAGGCGGACGATGTTTTCGGAGCCTTTGGTTATCAGGAAGTGGAACTGGACAGCCTGTAAGAAGCTGTAGCCCAGCGGCTTGTGGTGCCAGAGCTGCGTGGCAGTGGGTGACGATAGACAGGCAAAATCTTAGTGCTAGCAGCTAGCAGAGGCGACAGGCCAGGGGGGCGTGTGCGCAGTGCTGCAGGCTAGAGTAGAGGGCTCCGTGCGACCTGTAGAGGAAGTGCTGGAACGCGCTGGTATGGTACTGGACTTGTGCATCCAGGGCGCTGCCTAGCCTGGCGGCAGCAATGCCAAGTACCAGTTCCCGCTGGAGGCTGGGCCGGTGACAGGGCTCGAAAAGCGGCGTGACGTTTGGACAAGAAAGCACGAGCTCTCAGCCAAACTGTTTGGCGGTGCAGGGCCTGTTTGTTCCAGGGGGCAGAGCAACGGGAGGAAAGGGGGAGAAGGAAGAGAAGAGGAGAAGAGGGAGGAGAACTGGATGGAGAATTGCGAGATAGAAGGCCAGGTGGCGAGCCAGATGACTGATGCTGCTGCTACTTTACTTGTCGCTGCGATGAAAACGACGATGAATATTAGTCGTGTCTTGTTGCAAACAAACAAGCTCGTGTGGCTGAGCTAAGCTTAAGCTGAATAGTTGCCACAGCTTGCGCTCGTGCTGCCTTTTCGTTGTCTATCGCTTTTGCTTTCGAATTGAAGGCTAATTTTTTTTTTCTTTTCTTTTTTTTCCTTTTTTTTTCTTCAGCTTCTCGGTCTATCTCGTTTATGCTTCGATTTCCACTTCTCCAAGAGCGAGCGAATTAAACGTGCGCGGAAGGTCTTGTCCTCCTGCCCTGCCGCTTATGCCTTGGTGTTACAGCCGCCAAAACGTGAACGTTGCTCCCAGAATGGGGGTGCGTCCGGCGAAAAGTGTGGCTGGTGTCGTCCTAGTAACATCAATCGGTCGTGGGCTGACGTCAATTGCTCTTTGTTCCTCCGTTAGGCTTGTGTCCCGGGCTCGTACAGCGCGGCCTAGCCCAGGGGGGGTCGGATGGCGGCGCCTAGAAGCAGCCGAGCGATGCAGCTTGGAAGAACGGAGAAAAAAAAAAAAAAAAAAAAAAAAAAGCTGCGCGCGATCCCTACGGCGCGGCCTAGTGTTTGATTCTTCCCTCTGCTGCAGCTGGAACGACGACGCAATGCGCTGAACTGGCCAAGGCGCTGCACACCACTACGGCGCTAGGTCGAAACTAGGGATGGAGCTCTTAGCTGGCGATACGAAGCTCCTGGAACTGGTCTGCCGGCTTGCCCCCTGCTGCGATCCACTGACGGCTTTCTTGATGAGCGACGATGACACAACCGCTCACTGTCTCAGACCGCATGCGGTTGTGTTTTTTGAATGGTTAATATAAACAAGTGGAGAGTGCAGGGTGTGCGCTGAGAATGCGTGCGTCTTGGCGCGACTTAGGGCGACAAATCGAGATGCGCGGCTGCGAGGAGGGAGAAGAGTATACAGCAGAGGCGAAATAGAAAGGGGAGAAAAAAGAAGAGAGAAAAAATTTGATGCAGGAAGACGGATGGAGATAAGGATGGAATATGCATGTGGTGCAAGCGAATCCGATGCCAATGCTCTGTACCAACCAATCGCTATCCCCAGTCAATACGAGTCAAAAAGATACGACCAAGAGGACATGAAAGAAAGAAAAGACAGGCAGCAGAAGTGAGAGAAAACTACAGGTAATATAAAGCAGATGTGCGTTTCTACAATATAAGGAGTTTCGATGCTGGGTAGGATCGGGCGGCTCTAGCGAGCTTAGAGAGAGGATGAGGATGAGGATGCGCCGTAGTGCTGCTGAATACGAGGTTTGGCGGCAAAAGCAGAGAAGAAGGGCAACGGCCTCGCGCGGGATTCCGGCCCGCTATATGTACGAGTACAGCATCTGAGATGGGGATGCCGCAGCAAATAGACGCAGCAAGATTTGGGCTCGAGATGCGCCTCGCTGAGAGACAAAACAACAAGCGAGCGCCGCTACGAGCGCCATGATATCCACAGCGTGGCGCATATGGTACTGCTGCCTTTCTGTGAAACTTGCGATCAACAGGTGCGACGACTTGGAGGGCCCAAGCTTGAGCGACGCCAACCGCTATCAGCTTGGCATCGCATCATCTTTGCCGCACATTATTTGCAGGCTACTGATATTGTTCTACCCAGACACGACATGGTGAGCAGCAGCAAAAGACGGATGCAAGTCCTCAAAGATCGAATATAGTTTTTTTCCCTTCCTTTTGGGCTTATACAGAGTAAACACCGCGGCGATATCCGCCCAGCTCCGCCTCAGCCACAGTGATTACCAGGTACTTGCCGTTGACGGTTTCGACTTGCCCAGTTGGGCCAGTTTACGGAGTTTTATGGAGTGCCTGCTTTGTACAGGTACCAGGGCAACATCGCAAGCTGTTTTTGAGCTCGGCCAATTCCCTTGGCCCTGGACCTGGACCACGACGGCGCCACCGCGACTGTGGCTGTCGGCTGCTCTGCTTGCATTCATCACATACAAGTACATGTATACTTGTAGGGAAACAGAGTTGCTGCATGTGATGCGACAGGCTGCACAAGCCGAGCCGGTACTAGGTATACAATAAAATGAATGATAGCAGCAACCGGTATTCATACAAATACGATCTGCCACAAGCTGCCGCGCGTTGCCATCCTTTTCTTTCAACCCGCAATCGTCGACAGATTTGGCTGGGAAATGCCGGGATAGGCAGCTTGGGCGGGGACCTGATGGACCTCGAGCCAAACTCTAATAGAAGAGCTATTGATCTCCACGATATGCCGCCGAGCCCTCATCGTCACTCTTCTTGGCCTTTCCTAGACTTTTGCGGCTGGCTGATAGTTTGACCCTTATCCTTCTTTCTCTCTTTTCTCTCTCTCTCTCTCTCTCTATCTCTTCCTCGGATGCCGTGTCACTCGGAAGCCCCGTTATGCGCTCAGCCGGGTACATGGCAATTTAATTTTAAAGTTGACTGTGGCACAGGCTCATCGTTTCTCCAAGACACGGCTGTGGACAGGCGGTGGCGGCTCGATGCACTGGCAAAACGGCTTCCAAGATGACGAGGCCAGACATGCATACAGGCACTCCTCCGGCATCCCTGCCAGGCTCTCTCCCAGCTGCATGCTCCCGCAGGCTGTGTGACCTGCGCGGCAATAACCCCGTGCCGAACAGCCAAGGTGCTGGCCGGCCCTGTGCGGCGTGTGCATGCGATGAATGCATGTACCTTATGTTCCTGGCCAAGCGTCAGACCCGGCCTTCGTGTTCTGGAGCGCCTCACACCCTCTTTCTTTTTCCCGCAACCTTGCAAGCGACGTCCAGCCTCTGCCAGGCCGTATGGGGTAAATATTGATATCTTACTGCCCCTCCATAGTCCAGTAGCACGCAACATCAGATGCCACGGCCATAGCGGTGCTAGTGCCAGATCGTATTTTTGGCGGATGAACGCATCTGCCTAGTCCTGTTCTACTTGCGTCATACCATTTTCGCAATTCCACGGAATCAATAGTTGCCCAAGTGGAAGCCCATCGACCATTAGCCATTGATGAGAAATGAAACAGACACGACGATTAAAATGCCCTAGAGTACATGGATAAACAAATCACGTACAAGTAGCTTTCATGCGCGAAAACTAGATAGCACCAAGCATGCAAACGCTGATTCGACCATTCGGGCACGAAACTAGCTGGGGAGCAAGCCACGCCCAGTCCTAATCCCTTTTCTCCCACCTTTGAATTTTCTCATTGACGTATTTACACCTCATCGTGCTGCACACCTAACCGGGATAAGCTGTTCCGTTTCAGGGGCATCTGGTGCTATTTCTTTGGCTTGTCGATTTTCCCTTCCCTCCAACACGATCGAATTGGCTGCCAGCATCAGTGGTTAGCCCTCTCTTCCCCGGCATAATGCAATTGTCATGTTTACGACATGCTGCATTTCCCCCCGAAGCCCAACGGCACCCAGCATCTAGAATTGGCGATCAGCGCCGGGGGGGCAAGGGAGGCCTTGTGATTACATATTTAGCAATGTCTCAATCCTTTATTTATGCCCGAGAATAGAGAGCAGCGTCGATCGTTCCGTAGACTCATGGTCATACAGTGTTCTGGGGGAAAAAAAAATAACGGCTAGTATTGGCATCGTCACCCATACTAGGTGTTCCAAATCCAAGCTCTTCTGCTGGTTGGATTACGGGCTGCCTCGGAAGAACTGGTGACCTCATCTGTTGACTTTTTACATATGTTTTCCATCTCTTTTGCCTCTTCTTTCTAAAGAACCTAGCAATTGGCGTGTCGTGGTTGGCTACCAGTAGTAGGTATCATGGAACTAACACGCCCCAGGCACTTGATGCTATTCTTGTCGCCTGGAATGCGGTTACCAATTCTTCGGTATCTATCCCTTCGAGCCACCTCCTTGCGTGGCGGAATGCTTTCTCATGGCGCGCCCGATGTTCCTGATTACCTGATTACTTTCCTGCTTTCTGCTTCGTACAATGAATAAGGTAATACAGTAAGATTATCGGGCGCGCTCTGTGGTAGTAGCTCTTATC